AGAATTGAGAGAATATTAGAAAGCTCCGAGAACATCAGGACAATCAGATCAGATCAATAAATTTCAAGGAAATCGCTGAAATTTTAAAGGAGTTCCGAGAAACTTAGGCAATTGCCGAAAACTTCAGCAATGTTCCGAGGGGCTCATACAAATTTAAGAAACGTAAGGGAAGTTACACGAACATTAGCACATTGTGAGAACATTTTATGGGAAGTTCCGTGCTTATTGATGGCAGTGTCGATAATTTTTAAAAATTATAAAAATCGGAAAGATCAGAGAACTTCAATGCTGATGTTTCAATAAATTAAAGAAAATTGTGAGAGTGCTTAAAAAATCTCGTAATCTTCAAGAAAAACTAGAAACCTTAACTTGAGTTTTTTCGGTAGCCTCATCATAATCAGGGAAGTTCCATGTATTTTAAAGATGATCAGAGTACCGTGCCGATTCAAATTTCGGACACTTAAACTCGAATTTCGGACACTTTTAAAAGTTGATTATCTCGGTCGAATATGATCCACATGTCTTGTAAATTTTAAATTTTTTTGACTAGTGCCCTCCACGATCATCTAACATTATTACTTTGTTTCTAACTGGATGTAATATTTAATTAAAAATGAAAGTGTCCGAAATTTGAATCGTCCGAAATTTGAATCGGAACGGTACTCCAAAACAGCCCGAGGAAAAATGGAATATTCCTAAGTACATTTCAGGAATGTTCCAAAAATTTCAGGGGCGTTGCGGGGTTTTCAGGGATGTTTATGACCATTTGGAAAATTTTCTGGATCATTAGAACATCCCCCAAGAGCTCTTTTTTTCCGGAATTATGTCCTTGTTTCTTTCGACAGTTCCGTAAGCGCTCTGGCTTCCGACATTCTCCAGATTTTTTTTTCCAATCTACCTTAGGAAGTTTCTGCCAGCGTCTCCAAGAAGTTTGGTCCGTCTTCTCCAGGAAGTTCAATTAAACTTTTCTTTCGTCTAGTTTTGTAAATTTCTTTCGTCTAGTTCTGGAATTTTGCCCAGTTGTTTTTTTTTTACTTCTTTCGGAAGGTTTCTCTGAGCTTCTTTTGGCTTCCCCTGAAAATGGCTACTTCTGGAATTTATTTCCGGTTTCCGAAACTTTTCTGCCTTCCTTTGAGTGTGAAATCCTATTTTTTTCTGAATTTCTTTAAATTTTCAACAGAAGCTTCTCAATTTATGTCTTGGAAGTTCCGTGGATGTTTTTCCGACTTCTCTCAGAACCTACCTCAAATTTCCTCCAGGAGAGCTTCTTTCTCTGGCTCTTGTTTTCAGCTTCCCCAGAGTTTTCTTCCGGAATTTTCCGATCATAGTCCAAAAGTAAAATTTTTGCTTTCAAAAACGCCAAAAATATGAAATTAATTAAAATAGTAAATACCGATAAATACCGATTTTTTAAACCTTTGATACCGATAAGCTTTAAAACATTCTGGAAACGCTGGTGTGTCCTCCCACCTGACGGTGCCCCCTTTAACCTTTCAAATGAAGAGCGTACTTCCAGCGGGTCAGTCCTGTCTCCAGAATTAGTCTACGGTCTTGGTGACCCACTTCTTCAGACCCGGCGAGGTGATGGCGTTTGATGGTATAGTCGGTCTTAATCGGTGGTTTGTTCCAGCCTCTGGCTCTACACCAATGTATCTTGCACACTTGAAGATTTCCCTGAGGATTTATTAATTATTACAATTAAAAACAAAGAATGTTATTATTAATGTAACAAAACGGTCTGCATATGATTGACGACAATAAATAAATAAAATTGTTGGCCTCCGCAAGGAGGGAACTTTTCTCGTTTATTCCAGAAGTTATCTCGTTCAGCCCGATGGCGCGTTTGTAAAAAGTTCTGGTAATCAGACGGTTAAAAGCGAGCATTCCCTCTTCGACGCAGGCAGAAATCTCGGGGGTGTCGGGAAGAAGTCCGGAGGATAACCGTATCGCCTTTTGGTAAACTGGTGAAAGTCTATCCACCAGTCGGGGTTTGGCAGGGTACGTGGCCTCGATGACATATGTCAGCCGCGAGTTAGGGTGCCGGCCGGCTAGTGTCTTCAAGAGGTTTAAACGCTGCTTGAAAACGTTCTTTACCTCATTCAGGTGCGTGTCAAAAATGAGATGGCGGTCAAAGTGTACACCAAGTATCCAGAGGGTCTTTCGAAACGGAATTACCTCGTCCTTGATGACCTTTGGTGACCTAGGTGCTGACGATCCGGTGGTTCGACGGACAGATGTGTGTATATCCACTTTTTGCTGCGGACAGCTGGAATCCCGCCGTTGATGACCAAGCCGAGATGTAGGACGTGGCTTGGATAATTTTCCTCCGAAGCGCTTTGACGGTCTCCTTTGTTGCCATAAGGATAATATCGAGGACAATGTCGTCCGCATACACGAAAATGAGGATCCCAACCGGCAACTGCGTGAATACCCCAGTCATCCTAACAAGGAAAAGGGTAACCGCAATCACCGACCCTTGCGGTACGCCAGTCTCCTCGTTAAATACCTTGGATCAGCAGTTCCCCAGAATGACTTGAAAGATCCCGTGCGAAAGGAAGTTCTGAATAAACTTCAGCACGTATCCTTTTAGGCCCCAGGTAATTAACTGGTCTAAAACGTGATGTGGTTAATACTCGCTATGCTATTTTTTGATGAATTGGAAATACATGCTCCTAAAATTAAAATTCACAATAACATTCCTTTGACGAAAGCAACTTTTATGAACAGATACAAATTTTAAAAACAGATTTTTCGCATCAAGATACAGATTTCTTTCAGAAAAAAAGACAGATGTAAATGTGGCAACCCTGGGTACAACGTTAGTACAATCATGTCTGTCACAGGCCCGGTTGTCTTACACAAAAATCGTGTCCATTCCACTCTGTCCATCAATGCATGTGGAGGCTTGGCCTTCCACCTCTTCGTCTTGTTCCAATCGGATCGTCATCCAGAACCATTTTCACCTGGTCGTCGTCCGACTTTCTCCATAGTCGCCCTATTTTCACTGTTCTACCAATGTCTGATGCAATTGTCGGTTCATTCTCCACGTGCCGTCTTCGTTTGGCACACCACCGCAGATATGACTCTTTCGGTTACAAGGGCACGTCGGTCCTCCATCGGCAAGCTCAGGTCGCGTGGTCCAAGAGGACTACCGATCAAAATTAAAGATCAACAAGGGACCCTTTTTTCTTTCGAAACAAATTCCCCACCCATTTGGCATGAAGTTAATGATTTTTATTTATTTTAAAATAAAATATATACGAAATATATATTAGAATTGTTTTTTTTTTCTTGCTTCGCTTTCGCGATTCCGCAAAATTTCCGCACGCTCTCTATTGTGTCGTGTTGCTGTTGTTGTTGTTGTTGTTGTCTTCTGTAAATTAGGGCTTCTTTCCATTTCACTTTTGGAGTGGCTTACGAAAAGGAAAACTTAAAGTGTTTTACTGTTTAATATTTCATTGTTTGTTTGTTTTGCAACGCCTTTTTGGTTGCCGTCTAGTTTGTGTCTGCAATGCGCGTGGAATTATTAGGCTTAAAGAAGGATGCACGGTATATATTTTTTTTGTAAACTTGTTTTCTTAATTTTTCTTCTTCTTCTTTGTTATGGAAAAGAAAACATTTTTTCAGCCGTACAAAAATGTAGTCTTCATCTAGTTATTAATTATTTAAATATAAATCTCTTCTCGCTCGACTCCTTCTTCCTCTTCCTATTTTAATATTTAGCGCTCCTCAGAATATTAAGGACAATTCAGAGAAAGACACGAAAGAATAACACGTAAGTGAGGCAGACAGTTTTTCTTCCAGTTGAAATCGTATGTATTACAAACCAAGAACTAAAAGCAAGAAAGAAAATGCAAATGAATTCTTACAAAACAAAGACTGAAAAGAAGAAGATGATGGGGAAAAAAACATCTCAGGAACCTGTCCGGAATATCGATGAAATGCAACGATGAACGAAAAAGTCTAAATCACAAAATGACAGAAAGCAAACGAAAAAAAAAAACAAAAACAAGTGGAACTTCCGTTCTTCTGAACTAACAGTTTCAGTTTGCTTGGCTTAGTTTAAATACTAAAAATCTTCTGCCGTCTTCGCACCGGGACAATTTTTCTCCACCTTCTTGTTGCTTTCGGTTTAATACCTGCACGTTATTTCTTCCTACCCCGTTTTTTTTTTTTCATAGTTCACTTTTCTTCTCTTTCAATATATTAATTATTTAATTAATAAAAATCCTAACTGCGAAAAAACTGTTATTACAATAGTCAGTTTCTGTATTTATTTTTTGTGTAGTTTTTTTTTCTTCTGTTTTCGTTCTAATCTACAATCGGACGACGTCTGGGAAAAAAACTTGCAAGTTGATTGCGCGGGTGTTGTTTTTCTTTTATCAGTGTTCAAAGATGTCAACAAACGTGGGATTGCTTGTGTATGTGTGGGTGTGTTTGAAATGATTATCCGTCACAAAAAGATTGTGGCTATCGAATATGGATTGAAAAAACACACACCTACAATCAGAGTTGCGATTGATTTTTTGTTTTGTTTGCAAAACTCCACGGGGAAAATTCGTGGATCAACAAAGTTCACAGCTTCTTCCTTCCTTATTCAGTTATTCTGTTTGTTTTTTTTTTTTGCATTTTATGGTATATACGTTTGTTCATTATTTTGTTGTTTGTAGTTTTGTAAAAAAGCTGTATAAATTTTACCTTTCGTAATTGTTTTGTTTTCAATGTACCATGATTATAGTATTTGCTGTTTCTGCCGGTTTTGTTTTTCATTTTTGTTCAATATGCGGATTTGTTTATACCATTTTTTGTCTTTCTGAGGATAATCAATTCTTCTTACTTAAAGGGAGGTCTGCGTTCTCCTTCTTCTAATACCGTCAAATGGTTTACCACTCTCGCTTGCCTAGTATAAGATAAACCCCACTTTTTCCCCCTTCTTCTTATTCTTCAAACAAACTGCCTTTTGTTAGTTGCTATATATATGCAAAGGTAGGAAATATGTGTTTTGTTTGTTTTCAATACAATAGTTTTCGATTCTATATTCTAACGCTTTTGTTTTGTCTCTTTTTCGCCGGTATGTTTGTTGCTTCTTTCCTTCTAATAATTTAACCAACGTTAAATGTGTTGTTTAGCAAGGGTTTTTTTTTTTATAAATCGCTCACCAAAAACGAAAGAAACGAATGTGTGTTTGTGTATGTTGTATATAGAAAGGTTACGTGTGGTGGTGGTGGTGACAAACAAAAATACAGGATTGTTAGGTTTACAGAAACTTGCACTTTCGCTTTTTCGCCGGCTCCGGGGGCTCCAGTGCGGCCAGGATCGCCTCATCGAAAACGTTCTTGAGCCCTTTCTGTGAATTTTAGAAAGATTTAAGAAGTTGATAAGTATTTGTAAGCATTGCTTAGTACCGCATGAGTTCATTCAAAAGTCCTTGTTCGATGTTCATTTTTTCTCCTTTGATTTGTTTTGCGTCGATCTTGTTTTCCGTGCTGAGCACCAATGCTACTGACGCCAGGGAGGCAGCTCCCACACCTGGACCCTACCTATCGACTCATCAACTCATGAACCGGGGACCAACGGCTTTACTTCCCTTCCGAAGGAAGGCGTGATCAGAGATGTTATGCCTCAGAACATCCCGGCGGCGCCGACTGAGATTGAACCCAGGCCTGCTGGGGTGAGAGGTAATCACGCTTACCACTACACCACCGGTGCCGCTATTCTATGTCCATTGATCAGAATAAAAAATATCCAATGTTAGATACATTCCTGTCTACTGCTGGATTATTTCAATCAACCGAAAATGTCCGCTTTACAATCGTTTTTTTTTTTTAACAAAGCTCTTTTCAGAGTTCCTCTTAAATAAACTCTTTGATATTTCTTTAAAGCAGTCTCAAAAATTGCAGAGCTCTCCAAAGAATTCTTCGAAATCCTCCGAACATTCTCTTCGATTTTTCAATGATTCTTCGAACTCTTTCGCAGAATATTTCTTTCATAATTCTATACAAAAATCGGTTGAATTCAAGGTCCTAAGTAACATTGATCGATTCTCTTCGTCGACCAAAAGGTGGTCCCTCTACACACTTATTTTGCGCCAACTTTTTTCTCAGTGTGTCGCAGCTGTGCCGGCAGTGCCGAGAAGTCATTGAATTGACTTTTGTTTGCTTGTGAATAATGCCTTGTTTGGCAGCCCGGTATTTTAACAGCGCTTATTTTTGTTTTCTTTTTCGAAACCTAAGATGACCCGGGAGTAGGAGGAACATTTTCGTTCTGAGATACGGACCTTGCGGGCGGAGTTTCACCTAGTACGAGTCTACGTTGAGTGAGGAAAAGTTCCAGGGTTTTCAACAGCGGTTATTATCGTAGGCTGTCCTGAGTGATAAGTAAAGTATAATGAGGTGTGTAACGCGCCAGCCCGTCGAGCTTCCCTTATTATCCCTATATATCCCTTATCAGCCAGTCGAGCTTCCCTTATTAAAGAAGGATGGCTTAAGCGCCATTCCTAAACGAGACCATCCAACAGTTGGTAGCTTGCCCGGCTTTGAGACGTTCCTGGGGAGAGGATCAAGTTTCCCGAATTTCGGGTAGGAAGCCGACTGGCTGACTAACACGCGTTTGGTGTACTTCACGTAAGACACACAAGATATCCCTAATTCCTCTAAGACTTACGCAAATCAAACTCCGACAATCGGCCAAAGACTAGGAACACGTGAACGGAGGTTATCATCACCGGCCTAGCCCTAATCGTCCCCGTTTGTACTGAAACGCTTCCAATTCCAGAGTTGCCAGAAAATTAGTCAGAGTCGGGCTGACTACCCAATAAAGGGTGTCCACGATGAAATTGCCACACAGAAAATTGATTCGCAAAATTCGAGTTTTCATCCGATTGCCATCAAATTTTCAGGGATTGAGAAATAACTATTAAACTTCATTTTACCATTTTACTCGTATTTTATTTACAGTCCATACGCAAATGCCCGCACCTTGGCCTTAACCCCGGCCATAAGATTCTGCACAACCTGTGAATCAACCGTTTTTTGCATGTAAACCCATACTTTCTTCAGTTCCTCGACTGTCTTCACTACCTTAGGTCGTTTAAGAAGGTGCTGCTTCATAATCGCCCAGTACTTCTCGATGGGGCGGAGCTCCGGAGTGTTGGGAGGGTTGAACATTTTCGGCACGAAATTGACCTTATTGTCCGCATACCACTTCAGCACGTCCTTGGAGTAGTGGCATGAGGCCAAATCCGGCCAGAAGATTGTTGGGACGTTGTGGGCCTTCAGGAGAGGAAGCAGCCGCTTCTGGAGGCACTCTTTTATGTACACCTGTCCGTTCATCGTGTCCTGGGTCACGAAAGGTGCACTCCGCTTCCCGCACGTGCAGATGGCTTGCCAAACCAGGAATTTCTTCGCAAATTTGGACATCTTCTGAGTGCGGACATGCTCCGGAACGCTGAACTTATCCTTGGCCGTGAAAAACAGGTTGCCGGGGATCTGTTTGAAGTCGGCCTTCACATATGTTTCGTCGTCCATGATGCAGCATTCAACTTTCGTCAGCATGTTGAGGTACAACTTCCTGGCATGGGTTTTGGCGGACTTGTTCTGCTTCTCGTCGCGATTAGGAGCCTTTTGTACCTTGAACGTTCGAAGCCCAGCCTTAGTTTTGGCCTTCTGGACAAAACTTCGGCTTAGGTGCAGCTTCTTAGCCACATCCCTAACGGAGGCGTTCGGATTTCGGTTGAAGGCCCCAAGTACGCGGTTGTGATTTTTGGTGTTGTACGGAATACTTTTTCCTTCACTTCTGGGCTTCCGATCGGTGGTCAACCGTTCCTCGAACCGCTTAATCACTCGCGACACCGTGGAATTCGCGATTCCCAACGTTTTAGCGATGGAACGATGCGAGAGATCCTTGTTCTCGTGATGAATGCGCAAGATTTTATCACGCACGAGCTGTTCTTTCGACTCCATTTCCGCGAGTTTTGATCACAGGACTTTAAAACTTGCAGGATGTAAATAATGCACTATGAACTAAATCCACCCAAATTTTCATTAAATTCTACCCAACGGTTAAAAAGTTAGAGCAATTTCATAGTGTGGCAATTTCATCGTGGACACCCTTTAAACATCAAATACCAAAAACTACAAAACGAACGCGAAGTAACATGAAACCTCAAAAGACATCAACCAAACTATCTCTCATTGGTACACAACAGAAAACATTCAGTGGAAAGTAAACTGATTTATTCCAAGCGGGATCAACATTTGTACAGCTCTATTCTACCATAAAGCTCAAAGCACAGATATTCAAACATATACAAAGACTTTATTTCTCGTAGCTTTGTTCCCCTTTTCATTGCCTAGGCCCAGTGATGAACAAGTTCGCAAAAAATCACTATAACTCGCGAACTTTTCCCTTGGAGAACTTCGTGAAATATCGCGAACTTTTCCAACACTGCCTAGGCCTAGTTGTTTGTCATCCTTCCGCCTTGCGTACTACCTATCTTTCCTAGCGTGTGAAATTATTGTATCCGTCCCAGGTATTCCTCGTGTGTGCACTCTGCGGTAACTCAGCGATCGATTGCTTCAATGGTCGTCTTCACATTTCTTTAATTGGTTATTCTAAGCGCTACTCCCGTTCATTGACGGTGTATTTGAGTGTGCCTTAAACGAGTCACATGGCCATGGACGACACAAACAAACATGCATGCATTTTCTACTCACGACCTAGGTTTTACGTGGTGTCCTTTGGTGGAGAGACTGGCGGCGGTACCGAAGCTGCTTGGTGCACACTGTGTCTCCCTCATCGATTCGCGGGCTTACGCGACAGCGTGGTACAAACGCTCGTGCATACATTGACTGAACGTACTCTCCTCGACGAATGGCCTGCCTGCCCAGGGCGCGACTTGACGATGTACCCCGGGAATCTTTGCAACGAATAGGTGGGGTCAAAGAGTGGTTCCAACGAAATGGTGGTGTGTCGGCAAACGACCTGTGCTGCCACGAATCTATGGAAATAACGACGCATTTTTCCCCTCTAAGTTTACGCACAATCTACTAAACTTTGCACTTTACCTTTTGCTCTAAGTCACACGCTAACCACTAACCGCCAAATAACTAATCTATCTTCGCTCACTATTGCTAACTAGGGGAAGGAAAATCTAGTGACAAATAGTGACATCTTATTCCACCGAACGAATTTTAAGCGTCCAGCCAAATTCCTCTCCCGAGTTCGGGAAAGTGCAAAGCCGAACAGGAAACGTCAATGCATTCCTAATTGTTTTAGGCGCAGGTCGATGCACGCGAATCGACGCGGTAATGTGAACAAGAAGCCACGCTCAACAGGCTATTGGGACATGTGCTTTGCGCTTGTAGCTAACGTATACAGGAACTCATTTGAACAGTTTTATGGCTAGTGTAACTCTTTTACTCATTCTAATAATGGGTGTTCCTTGCGGTGAACACGTTTAAGATTTAGTTGAAAAAACGATATTTCATATTTTAATTAATAAATACCATATAACAGAATAACTAATTTATAGAAAACATAGCTATGATTGTAGTTTGTAAATGTTCATTGATAATGTGCTAATCATAAAGCGTACTTGCTACAGGTGTCACGACATTTTCTTAACCCTTCCCTCCTCTTTGCTTGTCCGTGTGTGCTAGTAAACAAAGCTCAAATTCAATGATCATGGCGTTCTACGGAAACGGTGCCGGCGGTGACCAGGACTCGCCTCTGTACCGGCCAGGAGATGATCGAAACGGTTCCGCTCAACAGCCGGAACAACAACATCAACGTAACAGATGAGCCTCGGCGAAAGTGCGTGCTAGCAACCCGGCCCAACCATATCCTGCTGTTCAGCATCATAAATCCAGTCTATCCTATTACAGTGGACGTTCTACACACCATCTGCTCACCCAACGGACAAGTGCAACGCATCAAGATATTCAAGAAGAATGGAGTCCAAGCTATGGTTGAGTTTTACAGCATTGAATCCGCCACCAAAACCCGCGATAGCTGTGACATCTACTCCGGTTGCTGCACACTGAAGATCGACTATGTCAAGCCAGAAAAACTCAGGCTGTGTTCCATTTGGAGAAATTTTCACTTAGATTTGACACTTCGAAAATAAATTAAGATGTTCGAAAATCCCTCTGTTGTTGATCGGCCGATTTTCGAGAAAGCGTCTCCAATGCAGCACTAATATGTGAACTCCGTTGAAGTCGTCGTTTGGTAGTGGTAATATCATCATGAGTGACGAAGATATCTGTGGTAGCTGTGGCCGTGAAAATCCACCCACGAGCAAGAAGAGAAAAGGAAAGGCGAAGCAAGGAAGCAAGAAAACGGAGAACA